GGCAAATGAACTAAATCCCAAGTATCATCTTTATCAAGAGCATCCAATTTATCATGTATTGTATTAATCCAATTAGGATTGGTACAAGTCTCTTTATAAGATTGAAGTTCAAAATAAGAATGAATAGAAGGAAGAAAAGTACAATAAGAAGAAGAAAAACAAGTGTTAGCAGAACCAAGTCTCGTAGGTGGATTGTGAGTGCGAATAGGATGCTATCATTCAAGTTGAGCAGAGTCCATAGGATCAGAGCTAGGCCAGTTAGAGTTGATGACCACACAATGTGGAAGCGGAAGTATTTTATGAGAATAGATCAAAGGATAAAGAGAGGTAATAGAAGGATGAGAAGAAGACAAAGAAGAAGCATCGATTGAAGAATGAAAATTAGAAACATTAAGAGAGGGGATAAACTCTTCGTATGACTCATACAAGGGAAAAGGGTCAATACACACAAGTTCATCCTTGAAATATGAGCTATTTTAGAAGGAATCGTGAAATATTGAATATTCTCAAGAAAAACATTCCGAAAGACATACCACTTTTTTGACATAGGATCATAACATTGATATTCCTTTTGATTGAGATTATACCCAAAAAAAAATACATAAAACAGAATGAGCACTCAATTTCTTTCACTCACGTTTAGGAAGAAGAACAAAACAGGTTGAAGCAGAGACACGAAAAAGAGAGTAATTAGGAAGTTTCCTAAACAACTTTTCATATGGAGAAACATCTGATAGAAGTGGGGTGGGCATATGATTTAATTAATAAAGCGTGTAAGAACAACTTCATTCCAAAAGATAGAGGGAACAAATGAAGAAAACAAGAGAGTATGAGTCATTTTAAGGATATGTCTATGCTTACGCTCAACAACACCATTTTGTTTAGGGGTACCTGAGCAAGATGATTGATGTTTAGTGCTAGTTGCATCCAGGAAGTCAGTGAAGTCTTTCAACCAATATTTCCATCCAAATCAAATCGAAAAACTTTTATATTAGTAAAAAATTGAGTGTGAATCATAGAATGAAAATTGTGATAAATTTGAAAAAAATCAGATTTATGTGTCATCAGACATACCTAATAATAACGACTATAATCATCAATAAAAGAAACATAATATGTAAAACCACCTTTAGTAAAAATAGGGGTAGGTTGCCATGCATTAGTATGAACAAGAGAAACAAGTGAAGTAGACAAAAAAGCACTTTTATTAAAAGGTGAAGTAAACATTTTAGCAAGTTTATATCTACTACAAGTAGAGATGTCACTTGAAGATACATTTACGAAAATACTAGAGGAAATTAAACTCTTTAGACCCTCACTAGACAAATTACCTAACCTAGAATGCCACAAATAAAAGTGGGACAAAAGAAAGACATTGGGAGAGCCAGACTCTAGAGGAATATGTAAGTGCTCTATAATGTATATTCATTAGCTCTATGCTCGACCCCAATCTATTTCTTGGACATCTGATCCTAAATAACATAACCATAAGATAAAAACGCAAATCAAATCTTGAATCAGAGAGTTGACTAATCGACAATAGACTAACATACAATTATGGAACATAATAAATATTCGGGTAGAAAGAGGGAAGAACATATCCAATAGAAGTAACTTGCATTGGAGAACCATTAATTGTAACAATATTTATAGGAGAAGATGGAGAGACACAATTACTAAGCGAAGAAAGATTAAGAGTCATATAATGTGAGGAATCTGAAACAAATATCTAGAAGGTGATATACCTAAGATTTGTGAACCAATCAAACATGAATGAATGGTGGACATAACAGAGGCATGAGACAAATTTGTAGTAGAAGTAGCAAACATAGACTATAGCTGCTCAATCATCGATTGAACCATATTAAGAGAAACAATGGCGGGATCAGATGTAGAAGTTGTTAGTACTGCAGAAGTGCGAACATAAGCTTGAGAGAAAGATTGCATGCTCTTTGTGAAGTTTGGCACAAGAAGCTTTCTAGTGTCCTTTTTGACAGCAAAAGTTGTATTCATTAATCCCAATATGTGATTTTGGTTTTCCAATAACTTATGTAAGTTGTGCATGAGGCTGTGTATTGGAGGTAGCAAACACTAACCGAGAAGAAGTGACCACATGAGCCACCTTACATCGAGTCTCTTCACCAATAAGTTCCTGAATAGCTCAATCAACTGTAGGCTATGGGATGCGACGAAGAATAGCACCACAAAGGGGCTCAAATTGGGCTCTAAGAGCCATAAGAAATTAGACTAGTGTTGTTTCTCCCTATAGTGCACATAACTGTCTAGTGCTCCTAAGTCTGATGGATCCATGAGTGCCAATTGATCCCCATAAGTAGTCATCTGATTGTAAAATTCTTAATAAACTTATCTCCTAGTGTTACACATCCAATTTCTATCTCTAATTGATATTGTTTTGCAAAATTGGATTCTAGATACATGTCTTCCAAATAATTTCATACTTTTTTTTTGCAGCGTCAAATTTTGAACAACTTATACCAATATTAGGTTCCATAGAAATTTTATAACCAAGTAAGAACTTGAGCGTTCTCCATCTCCCATTTAGTAACAATTTTGTCATAATCTGTTGCTTTTGGATTAAAGGGTTTTATTTTAGTACCCGAAACATAACCCCGTCTTCCTCGACCGAATAAATTTTTTTTATCACATTAGACCAATACAAATAGTTATTTCCATTCAAATGAATACTAATTGCTTGAACCTTATGGTTTGAAATCGACATAATTTGATTACAAAATATCACCAATCAACGGTGCGACGAACAACGGTTGTTACCAGTGTTGCATAACAGTAATCATAAACAGTACCTATGAACAGTATCGATGAACAGTGATGATGGTGGATAAGGTTTTAGGGATTGTGATTTGATAGGCGAGGAGGCCTGATACCATGAAAGTTTTATTGGGTGCAAATAATACTCTCTCTATTCAATAAACTAGATTACAAGAATATATATAACCCAAGAAAATCAGAAAAACCCTAGACTACCCAAAAGACAAATATACTCCTATTATAAAAAAATTATATACACACTCACAAATAGAACACCTAATTCTTATGAATATTTGTACCTTTTCCTATTTTGTAATTTGTTGAGGTCATGTTTTGGTTCATGGATTTGAGTTTTGTTCTCTTGTTCCCAGCATTCTTTGTAATATGAGTGACTATACTGACCAACATAGCATTTGAAATGAAGCAAGCTACTTTGTGTTCCTGGTACATAATAATACTGGGCTAACAAAATGTTCCAAAGTGCATAATAATACTTGCCTAACATATGGATAACTTAGTTGACATGCCAATGAGTGATGGAGAAAAGTAAACTAACCGAGAACCTCTTTCGGAATCAAGGAACCTCGAAGAATTCTTTTGGGAATGAAAGGTGAGAAATCCCCACAAATAGTTGACATCCACAATCAACCAATTGTTGCAGTTCCACCTTTATTTAGTAGACAGTTGTGGGAGGTTTATGTCTTGAAGCACAAAGTGAGCAGGGGCATGGAGCTACTAAGGCCTCCTTCCACCTCCAACGGACACATACGTATTGTTATACTTTCATAACCCATAAGATTAATGTATGTTGAAACACCACCACCACCCCCCCCCCCCCCCAAAAAAAAAAAAAAAAAAAAAAAAACCAAATTTTCTTGTCTTATTAATTTTTTTCTATTGATTCTATTCTTTGCTTGGGTCTGATCTCAATGACTGAATTGTTCTTTGCTCAGGTGTGATGTAAATCTTTTGCTGGCAACGCTGTGCACACGTTCAATTCAAACTCGTGAAGGGATCATTGTTAAACATCTTGATTGCAATGCTGCTGTTGCAAGTCGGGATGCCTTAGCCAAGACTGTTTATGCTCGGCTGTTTGATTGGTCTGCTGGCTGTAACCTTCACTCTTGCTTGATCTATATGTTCACAGTGACAGAATGCATGGTATCTTTGTTTCAGGCTTGTCGAAAAGATTAACAGATCTGTTGGGCAAGATCATGAATCTCAGATTCAAATTGGAGTCCTGGACATATATGGGTTTGAATGCTTCAAACGTAACAGGTCAAACACCATTAATTGATTGCTTTGTTGATTGATTCTGTACATTCTATAATTTTTCCATGCCGTACAATGTAGCTCCAATGGTTTTCTTCCCCCCAACGAAAATCCTTGAAAAGATGAAATTATACTTGTATGAATGAGAAGGAAGAGAGGAACAAAGAAAGTTGAGCTTCTTAGCCCATAAGAGTGGATGTGGAAAACAAATAAAAACGCCCACCAGAATAAGTCCACCCTTGCCACACAAACAAAATTAAATAGGGTAATAATGTACTTTATATGGTTGCAATGATCTTGCCCTCTTTTCAAATCATTTGCCCCTCTTTTAGTCAACCTCGAGTTGCAATTCACATGACAATGCCTGCATTTCCAGGAAACTAAACTGGCTGATCCAGCTTGTGGTTGACCACTAGAAGAGTCTACCTTGAAAAGCAGACATCGAAAGCCTCTTCCCCTGAATCTTCAGTATTGGATATAGCTTATATTGAACATGTACACAAATTTTATGTGGTGTGTTACACTGGTTTCGTTGTCACATTCTGCTGGGTTCATTAGGGTCATTCCAGAGTTCTATTATCCAATATTAGTCTGTTTAAATATATTGGCTTAATTTGTTTCTAACTGAATTTTTTAACTCAAGTATATAATCATTTGGTGAACCTCCCCCAACTGATTCCTTGGTTGATATTTTCATTCTTCAGTTTTGAGCAATTTTGTATTAATTTTGCAAATGAGAAGCTTCAACAACATTTTAATGAGGTGCGCAATGATGCTTTATGGGATTTTATCATACATTTAGTGGAATAACATTGTGCTACCTTTCTGTTTATTTTTTTCATTTCCCCCTTTTTTTTGGACCTTTTGATTTGTGTTGCTGTCTTTTTTGTTTATTTGGGATCTCTTTCAGCATGTATTTAAGATGGAGCAGGAGGAGTATCGTAAAGAACAAATCAATTGGAGCTATATTGAATTTATAGACAATCAAGATGTTTTGGATCTGATTGAGAAGGTTTTCCCTTGTTCTCTTTGTCAGATATTCATCATACTCTAATTGGTCACAAACTGAATGATTGCTTAAAACTATCACTGTGAACTTCCATATATTTTCAGTATGCTACTGCTTTGAAATGAAAAATTAAATATACAATCCTATTCTATTATATGATGTTGTCGCAATTATTCTGGATGGCGGTTTTTGTATTTTAACTATTCTCTAATTGGTTGATAGTTGGAAATATATTGAAAGGATTAAAAAAGTATATGCATAAGTTGTGGGATGCAACCAGCCACAAAAGACAACAATGATAGGGTGAGGTGTAGAACTCGTGTAGCATGTGGCCCCATCTAGTCTGTTATTGAAATGAATTTGAAAAAATTTAGGTCTCCTTGTGTGGTTGTTGGTATTATGATGCTTTGATTTCTTCGGATTCAATTTGCTTAGTCTTAAATTTGACTACCTGGATTTATTTTATTGGAAAGTATAAATGATGAAGCTTCCTATTTACTCTAGTTATTTTAAGGTTGTGACGATTTGTGTTATTTCTTTGGACATGTTATTATTCAATTTCTCAAACTTTATGGTGTTTGCTGTTGGTTAATCTGCATTTTGCAAGAATGCGGAAGGATTTGCTAATTTTCTGAAAGAGTTTCAGAATGATTAGTAGCCATTGAAGAAATGTACTTGATTTCATCGGATTTTTGCATGAATCAGGTGTGAGCGTGCTGTGATGCCTTAATGTAGAATACTAGCCTGGTGGTGTACATATTATTTTCTCCCCAAACAATGGGATTAAGAAATATCATTCTGTATATATGGTTGCATTTGCAACGTACAGCTTCCTGAAATGTGTTTTGATCCTGTCCTTTATATATTATGTGCCTGGAAAATGAGTAAGCTTGTTTTGTAATTTATTTGGCTTGAAACATTATTTTATTATTTGGCCTTGGCTATCATTACTTTTTATTTTCCACAATGAAGATGGTAATGGCGAATGCAAGTACTTTACTTTTTATAGTTAATTGATTTAGCTTACTTGCAATTTTCACCAATTTTTAGATTGATTCTTAAACCATTCTTTGAGTAACATCTACTAGGATACAAACAAGGTTTTGATGCTTGAATGGAACTAGTATAAAGTGTTTCCTGTTTATGTTTTTAAAACAAAAATGCTTAGTATAATTGTGAAAGCGGGCCTGCTCTGCTGGATCCTAAGATTTATTTGATTTTTTTTTTCTATGGGAGAGACATGATGAAAACTTGCATCTTTTTTCTTTTCCTTGGCATTTATTAGTTTTATTATTCTTGACCACTAGTTATTCTTCTGCCTCATGCAATATTCTACATGCTTTTGCAGAAGCCTATAGGGATAATTGCACTTTTGGATGAAGCTTGGTACAGCATAAGTTCTTTGCTGTTGATTTGTGCGTCTTGCTCTTTCATATTGCTTTGTTGTAGTTTGTCCTTATTCTGATTTTCCTGTTCTTGTAGCATGTTTCCCAAATCAACACATGAAACTCTTTCAAACAAGCTGTTCCAGAATTTCCGGATCCACCCAAGATTGGAAAGGGCAAAATTTTCTGAGACAGATTTTATCATCTCCCACTATGCTGGCAAGGTATGTCAGTAGAAACAAAACTGCTGTCAGTTAAAATACGGTGTGAACTAGAGAACAATTATCATGATATTTTCTCCCTATAATGTTCTGTAGGTCATGTATACGACAGATACATTCCTAGAAAAAAATCGTGATTATATTGTGGTTGAACACTGCAATTTATTGGCGTCTTCTAAGTGCTCCTTTGTTGCTGGTCTCTTTCCTTCATTACCGGATGAATCTTCAAGATCATCTTACAAGTTTTCCTCGGTGGCCTCTCGATTTAAGGTATGAAGAGCACATATGAAACCTTGGCACTCTTAGTGCACGATATAATTATTTAAGAAGATCTTTATGCACATTACATAATACGAAAAAGGAAGAAGGACATGATTAAAATGATTTTTTTTTTTTTTGAGATATCTCTATTACTGTCTAATGGTTGTGGATTTATATTCAATTTTATTAAGATTTTATTAAGTTGTTTTGCGGATTTCTATTTAATGCTTATAATTCTTTTCCCATGTTTTAGGTATGGAAATATTAGTACTTTTGTTTTGTCTTTGCATGGTGCAATAATTTCGGTTTCTTACCAGCATGTGCTTGTGCAACTGCTCTTATTTTTGCTTGTAGCAACAACTTCAAGCTCTCATGGAAACCCTCAGTTCAACAGAGCCTCATTATATTCGCTGTGTGAAGCCAAATTCCTTGAACCGGCCTCAGAAGTTTGAAAGCCAAAGTATCTTACACCAGTTACGTTGTGGGGTCAGTAGTATCAGAATTTCTTCATTTTACTTTACTTTGAAGTTTCATGGAGTTCGTGTTCAGACATGTAAAACTATTTGGTATAAAATTATTCTGATCTGTGTTTGCTTAATTAACTTCAAACGTTGTTATGCGCACCGCACTTATTTTTGCTCTTCAGTTGTGTTGTGTTTCTGGGTTTGTGCCATAATTGTTGTTCCTGCCATAGTTTCATTAGGGCCATTGTTGTTGTACTAGGAAGTTTGCCTACATCAAAACTTGCTAAGTCCTTTTTGTATCAGCTCTTTCTGTGTTGAAATCAGCAAGGTCTCTTTTCCATCTTTGTGGTACTGTCAATTGTCTGGAGAATAACAATTCTGTTTGGCGATATATTTGACGTGATAGTTTTATGCTGCAGGATGTTTACTGGTTTCCCCTATTTTGTTGAAAGTTGAAATTAAAATATGAATGTGGTCTGTATTGTTGTTGCATGTTGAGCTTGGATATATATTTTGTATTTGAATTTTTTTAGTCATCGTAGGTCTTGTAATGTCCTATATCATTGTTTTTACATGTTTTGTAACAAATTTCTAGTTGGGTTCCATATCACTGTGTTTTTTGTTTCCCACAATGCTTTTATACCTCGGTACATGCTTCCCTTTTTCGTTATGTTTCTCTTTCCATTTCCTTTTCTAGTTTTGATCCTTACTTTGCACGGTACAACATCCCTTTCTTGGTAGATTCATATTGGTATGTTGAGTTTTGTGTTTTGTTTGCATTTTAATTGGTTAAGTAATTGAAAATCATTTACCCAAGACAATCTGTGAGCACTATTTGAATCAGTTTTGGACCTGATGCACTCGTTGAAATGATAGTTCTCTTAAGGTTAATGTGAACCCTGGCCGATATTCCTAGTATCAATGTCATCAGATGACATCTGCATGGAATCCTAATGAGATCTCACTGATTTGGCCTCTCTCTCTCTCTCTATATATATATATTTTTTTTTTTCTTTTAATTATTATTTTTTTCTATAAAACTAAGAAAATAGTGTAATGTGAACTGACATGCCGAAGATACACATTTGTATGCAAACAAAATATGCCACATTTGTTTTGCAGTAACGGTGGCCTTTTTCGAAGGCTTATTTGCTCACTTCAGGGGTAAGAAGTATATTGCTGTTTGAGAATTACTATTTGCAAGGTTCAATTTTTCTTTTAGTAGTTTTGTATTTTCTTTTTCCAGCGTGCAATGTGATTCCCTGCTCAATTTTTTCTATATCCCAGCACAGAAAGAAAGATATGGTTATCTGTTTATATTTGTTTATAATTTTTTTTGTTAGGGATGTCATATGCAAAGCAGTCTCATATGGTAGTACTATGATGTTGTGTAGGGTGTTTTGGAGGCTGTTCGGATAAGTCTGGCTGGTTATCCAACTCGGAAAACTTATAATGAGTTTGTAGATCGGTTTGGCTTAATTGCTTTGGAAATTATAGATGGAAGGTGGGTTTAATAATAGTCTATTTTCAATTTTTAGTCTTGGTATTCTTACTAGATTGCAAATTTGTTTGTATGCCTGATTTTCATGTGGGAGTGTATTGACAATATTTGCATGTAATAGTCCTCTGTTGGACAATTATACCCGTTGATAGTGGAAATGCTGAATACACTAAGCTTGGTGATGTATTATCCTGTTACACTTGTGCTTTGATAAAATTGATCTGGCTATCCATAATACTTTTTGCTATTTCTTCTTTTAGATTTGTTGAATATGTAAGTTTTGTGATTCACAGTAACTACGGTATTGAGTATAAGGGCATAGAGCCTTCCTATTTAGAGCCCACTCATATTATGAATTTTAAAAAAAAAATATCTGGAGAGCTTCTGCTTCTAATGATTGTCACCCCCTTTCTGTAAGGAACATCACTTTCATAGATAAGCCTTTTATGCATTCAATGTGATCTACTTAAGTCTACATACTTTATCATGATTGAGAGTATTGGCATGCTGCTTTCCATCCCTATTCCATTTACCGTAGTGTATCTAATCGGGAAAGACATTCATTTTTCATTGCTCTCTCCTCTCGTGCAAGGTTTTTCCCATTGCGTTTTGCCTTTGGTTTTTTGTCAATGTATGTCAGGTCAAGTACATTTCATTTCCTTGGTTTAATATTCATAGGTGCTCTTGTAATGGTCTATCTTTGGAGATAATTCAGATTTTGTGTTTGGGAAATGGTTTCGCATTCTCTTTAGAGATAGAGGCAGTATCTCTGTCTAGGATATTTAGTTGGTGCTCTAAAAGGCGTCGGAGGCATAGCAAACAATTTTAAGACACTTAAAAATGCATCCTTGACATTGAGAGAATGATCCTATGAAACCTTAGTGTATGGTGGAAGCATTTGATACAAATACCATGGCACCTAACTCCTGGCATGCTCATGATAATAAGTATATGTATAATCTGGTATGAAGGATCTTTTGATTCATATCTACAATGGCTAGTTTGTTTCTTGTAGGTAAACTTACGTTTGAATATGGTTGGAGAATGTCTGAGGATGTTCTAGAGAATAGCATTTTTGTTATATTTTGCTGTTTTCAATATTAAAAATACGACCGGGGCTAGGGGATGAATGCCTCTCTCTCTTTCTCCATCTCTTGCTTCCCCCCTTTTCTTTTTCCCCTCCTTTTTGTTTTGCACATCCAAACCCCTAATGTCAACTAGGATTACAGTCCAACTTGGTATCCGAGCAACAGATTGCAGCCCAGAAGTCACTAAATATTCTGAAGACTATTAAGATGTGAATGGGGATAGTTGAAGTCAGCATCTGTACGATGACATCATACTGACTGAAATTGTATGCACACCAAATTTCGGCGACCACATGGATTGAATCGTCTTGTCATGATGAGAAATATGGTGTTTTTTTGGTATTTTTAGAAGCCATCTAGTGAGACCGTTATTTAGCTGCTTTTTCTTGGGTTGCAATCTGCATTACTAGGTGTGTCTGGGACTACTAGGTAATCCTACAGAACCTCCTTTATTCTGATTGAGTTTTCAATGTCTTTTGGCTTCCTTCCTTGATATTTTTTGCTTGGGAGTCTCAAATGGCTATGTTCTTGGATGTGCTTGCTAAGTGTTATGTGTAATTTCTAGCTTAAGGGTACTTTAGTACTTTGTGACTATATATATAAGTTATGTATAGTTGTTTAACCTAACACACTACTCTCTTCTCCTATTTTTCTCTCCTCTTTTCTCCAAATCCTAATGGCTTCACAATCAATCTTGGTATCAAAGCATCGATCAAATTTAACGTCTCAAAGTTGGCGAAGTATCCGTGCTTTGTAGGATATTTCATCATTTGCATGCTGGATAGATTTTCTCCATTCGTTACGAATCAATGTAAAAATACTGATGTTTTTTGCGATACTTCTAAGTTTACCACACACAAACAAAACCCCATATCCCAGCAGTAATAATGAAAGTACTGCTTCATTTATAAATTTTCATTATGATATTGTGGGAACTTTCTTGAGTTGTCTCTTTATCTGGGTACTGATGGTTTGTTAACTTTATTAATTGTTGTTCTCTTGTAACTTGGGTTTACATGGTATGACGCAAGAGTGAAGTGGTTCTTACTTCCTACTCTTTCACTAGATGGTGGCTACCTAATTTGATGCAAACATACAAATTCTTAGATGTGAAAGGAAAAAAACAATATCTTCTTGAAGTCGCTCAATTTTTGGTGCTTACCTTTAGTGTTCTTAAAACGTTTTTAGGATGATGTTGTTTTGACCTTGACATATGTCACATCTTATTAAAGAGCAAAACTCCTTATTTTAAAGGACTACCTCCAATCTTATATCATTTCTCTGGCATGTGGTTGTGAATTGTGCTTGCTTTGCACATTGTCATTATAGTTCTAAGTAGTGCTATCTAAAACGTGCCTATACGATTTGCTAGGTGAAGCCGACTTGCCTCAAGTGGTCAAAGGCGAATTGACTTGTCTGAAGTTAAGCTTAAGTGCAAAATGCAAGCACCTCGAGATTAATCTCTAGGTGACATGGCAGGCGTTTGTCCATTTTTTTTTCTTTGGTGATTTGTTGTGGACCTTTACACAGTGTTTTAAAAAGCTCGCCTAGGCGAGAAGCGGACGAGCTTATCTCGCCTGGAGGACCCCAGGCGAAGTGAATGTGAGCGAAGCGAGAAAAAGCGAAAAAACGAAGAAGCGAAAAAAGCAAAAAAGCGGACGCTTTATTATAAGAGGTGATTCTGCTTCCTTTTTTTTTTTTTTTTTTTTTTTTTCTGATTACAGGTTAGTAGTCTCTTTTATTTTTTAATCACTAATGACTTTTTTTTTAGACTATTGTTGGTCTATTTTTTTTTCCAAATAAACAATATTCTGAACAAAACACATTTCTTTTTTTTCCTTGTGTTGCTGAATTCATTTAGAATATTTGTGGGATGTGGGAGTCAGGTGACTGCATGACAAAATAATGATAAAGAAAGGAAGCAAGAGTATTAGGAATGAGGGTAAATAATAGAGTCTTCTACAAAGAAGTGTCTCTGATTTGTCTTGGTTATACTTTTTCCTTTTCTTATATATATACAAATGGTACTAAAAAGTGGTCTATGCTTATACCATGTTTAATTATTTTAGTACATGTGAAATGTGCCTCTGTTCTACTTTTTTTATTCAGTACATAATTACATATGAAATTGTTTACAATTGATTCTGCTCCTGTCATGATCATTGTGCTTCTGTTTTTTTTTTTAGCTCATTTTGCTTCTATTTTTTTTTGTTGATTCTCTTGTTGCTTCGGTTTTGTTGTCCTGTGCTGCTTCTATTTTTTTTTTTTATCTTCATTCTGCTTTTTTTTTTTTTTGTTGCTGATTCTGTTGCTGTCCTGATTCTGCTTCTTTTGTTGTCCTACCCTGTCAATATGAAAATGTATACAATTTTTAGTATTTGTTTGAATTTAAATGTTTAAGTTATGACTGTTATTAAGATTTGAAATATTATTAGTGTTTGTTTTAATTTAAATGTTTATGGTTTTATTTGTATTTAAATATTTAATATATATAAAATTAGAACTTAGATTGTTTAGAAGTAATTAAACTAAAATATATATTTTTTTTAACTGTTCGCTTTGCTTCGGTAAAGCGTGTCGCTTCGCTTCTCGCCTAAGTGTTAGGAGCCTTGGTCGCTTCGGTTCGCTTTACGCCTTAAATAACACTGCCTTTACATATACTTAATTGTAGAAAATTTTGATGCGTGGTAAAACACCAGATTGAGGCTCTAGCTTCTAAAGTTGAAGAATGTAGCCAACATACTAGATCAACATCAACCTCCAAGGGTTCAAGGTAAATGACTACATTTTCACTCATAGATGAAGTAGAGACAGTTTTGGATAAGGCTGGTGGCCAAGACGATGCGGATGGATATTAATCCACTGGCGATGGAGAACATGATTTGCTTGATGCTAACGGTGATTTAAGTACTCAAGATTGGTGGAAACATTAACTGAATGTTTCGTTACTTTGACAATTTGAGTGTTTTCAAGTGTTAAGATTTGATATACTGTAGGTGTTTGTTTGAATTTAAATGTTACTACTCTTTATTGCATTTGAATATTTAGTATTTGAGAAGTTGGAACTTGAATATTTTGTGCTTAGAATGTTAATAATTAAATATTTGATACGTCAAATCGTGTAACCATATAAAGAAGATATTGTTGTCATGAATGTTCCTCTCCTTGCTTTTGAATGCCATATTTGTGAATCAGTTTTGGACTTATTCTTCTCATAGCTTTCTCAAAGTCAACTTTCTCTGTTTTTGCTTTAGTTTTTAACTTGTGAATATGACAATGAATTGTTTGTTGATACTTTTTTACCCTTTTCTGTTGTATTTTTAAGTGTGAATGTTTGTGGGTGAATTGCATATTAATCCTTTTATCTTCTTGTTCTAAAGTCTCTGCCCCTTTTTTCTCTATTAATTATTGCACTTCAGGCTCATTTATTTCCCCTATCTTATGTGCTTACAGTTGTGATGAAAAAACCATGACGGAGAAGATTTTGCAGAAATTAAAGCTGGAAAATTTTCAGGTTTTCTTCCATAGTACTTCTCTTTGAAGTTGGTCGTTAGAATATTGTTTTGCTTATTTCTCTAGTTGTTAACATTTAGTTAGTCAACTCCAAGAGGAAGTTCAAGTAGTAACATGGATGAACTATATATCTAGACGTCTTGATTTCTAATCTTGGTAACTCCTTTGGGTTAAGCCACGAGAGATTTATCCTTCATGAATACCCTAGTTTCGGAATGGATAAATTGTGTTTGACCGGACCGGAAAGGGATTAGTCTAGGTACGCGTAAACCGGCCCGTACAACCCTGACTGTTGAATTGAAAAAACCAAAACATTCAGTTAGTCTAATTTTAAGTTGTGGTTTGTTGTTGGTATCATGACTTAATTTGTTTTTAGTATTTTATGCATGTTGCTTTTATTTACTTTCTTTGTGGCAGTTGGGAAGGACAAAAGTTTTTCTTAGAGCGGTCAAATTGGTGTTTTAGACTCGCGACGTGCCGAGGTTTTGGATTTTGCCGCAAAGCGTATTCAGGGTCGATTGCGGACATTTTTTGCACGCAAGGATTTTATCTCATATCGTTTATCGGCAATTTCTCTACAAGCATACTGCAGAGGTCTTTTCTTTCACTTAATAAAATACTTGTGGCGGCCCCGTGCAATCCACGGAATTTGCACACATCCCCTCCCCTCACCGTCCCACTTCCCCTTTCTTTTTTTTTTTGCTATTGTCATCATTCCATTTGAAAAATTAGATAGAAAATTATGAAAAATTATGGTGATAAAACAATTATGAAAAGTTAAGGTGGTAAAATTATGTTTTTAATTTTTTTTTTAATTTTCAATAATTTTAAATGAGTGGTGGTCAATTAGTGGGTAGAGGGGTAGTTACACAAGACATGTGTTAGAATATAATTGGTTAAAACTATGTGTGATAATTAGATAACTGAAAATTTTAAGAAAAAAGGAAAGTGGGAGGGAAGGCTTTTCAAACTCTCTACCATCTAATTTGATTGTATATATATATATATATATATATATATATATATATATATATATATATATATATATATATATATATATATATACACACACACACACACACACACACACACACACACACATATATATATATATTATCGATATGTTGGCAGTTATCATATTCATTCCTGATAGCGTGTTGGTCTTCCATTTGCTTGCTTTTTCACATAAAAACATTAGGTGCTTTTTCGCATAAAAACGTTTGCCATCCACTTTCAACCTGCTATAGCCATGCATTTTAGTGTACAAAGATGGTGGAGAATTGGATATGAGTGGTTGTGAAGTCTTTGATGATGTCACCTTCAAATCATTGGGTATATGCATCCAAGGTCCTGCAATATGGACGTCATTTTCATAGAAACCATATTTGGCTATTGTTACGAGCATGATAACAAAAACAATTGGTTATGGGTGGAGTGCCCCTTCTAATGTGGGGATAAGAAAATGGTTATGTGGGTTATGTATATAAACAATTCTTTGGTCTACTTAATTTTTTGTTGTGGATAGCTCGGTTCATACCCTTCCTAACCTGAACTAGCATGTGAGCTACCCGACCAAACTGAAATAGACAAAGAGACAGACAGATTGGAGGTGAATCGAAACATATAGAGAGACGTACTGCGAAATTCAACTGGATAAGAGACTTGGGCTACTATACACCAAAGGCCCATATCTGATGACAAGTAAGAATATTCAACCCAAAACCAATTGGTTATGAGTAGAGTGACTCCTCTTGCATATAAGCTAATCTTGGGTCTACTTACCTTTTAAATGTGGGATGACTCTCTTCACAACAATTGCATGTTCTACTATATTTTCCTATAGTATGGAAAAATGATTTTGGTGGTGGTTTGCTGGAGTACAATTCGAAGTAGAACTTTTGAGTCAAGAAACCATCAACATCATCTTATTTATCAATTTTGATGTTGTCCCTTCATAACATTGCTGTGACATCATCAACTTTTAGACTTTAAATCAAATAACTTTGAGGAAATATAATTTTTTAGCATTGTTGAATGACTCTATTAAGCCTAATCATACGTTAGCCACCATGACCATCACCCAAGGCAGGGTGGTTGAACGGGTTAGCATGGTAGAGGCCGGAACTATTCTAACTGCTTCTCACATGCAAATGTTTGTTGAACACAAGGGGCTAATAAACTATGCTTTGATATGATAAGATGGGAAAAAAGGAAAATAAGGAGGAAATGTATAGGAAAATAAAAAATAGAAGAGGGAGTGTGTACCAAACTTCTGGGCCCCTTGGACAAGTAGATAGATGATTTGATGCATTATGGGAGGAGGGAGGTTTGAAATTTGTTCATCTGATGGAGCTGCCCTCATTTTACTTCCATACCGCAAATTAATATCGTTATAAAACCTTAATGCTCCTTGGATATTGACCGATACACTATATACGAAAGCAATTAATTTAAAGCCTGAACTTTCAATCATAAAATATTGAAGCTTATAATATAAACATCGAAAATTAGTGTGATTTTTGCTGTTTCTTTTGAATATCACTTAATAGTTTATGTGATAACCCTTGGCATAATTTCCACAAAGTGGTGGTTCTTCTATCTGGACTTGCTTTCTAACTCATACACGTGACAAAGCCTGAGCATTTTCCCCAAGCAGTGGCCAGTCTAGTAGTTGACATCAAGTAGTCATTTATATTTTTGACATCAAGAAGTCATTTATATTTAACTGAGTGCTTTATTATTCCAGGTTTCATTTTATCATGCACGTTGTTTACAATTGAGTGAACTGCCATTTATTTTTTAATTGGTTTATGCATCAGCAGAATCCTAGTGAATTGAAGGAAGAGTTGATTGCCTTCCTAGTCTTCTGCACTAAGGTCTTTCTTTCCTTTTGATATTACACTTATTGCTACTTTTGCAGGACATCTTGCTCGAGTTACTTATACATCAATGCGAGAGGCAGCAGCTGCGACTTCGGTACAGAAATATGTACGAAGATGGCTATTAAGGCATGCCTATATGCAGCTTTATGGTTCTACTGTACTTATCCAGTCCAGTATTCGTGGTTTCTCAACCCGTCAGAGATTTCTGCATAGAAAGGAACATAGAGCTGCTACTCTGATTCAGGTGAATTACGTATGGTCTTTCGTTGTTTCATTTGGTATTTTATTCTGTCTGTTGTCCGATGCATTTATATATTTGGCGCTCTCTTCTATTGCATGTGCAAAGGACCTGAAGTTTTTTTGTTACTTTCCATTTATTTTAACCACTTGGCCCAGGTTATATTATACAGAAATAAAATGTTTGCATTGCTTTTACAAACTATGGAAGAGTAGCATTGCAAACACACATCATTGATATTTGTAAGGCTTGAGACTCAATTTATAATTGTCTTATGTTTCCAGCGTCTTGAGTAATTAATGTGAGTCAGGTTGAAGCTTGATGAGAAGTAATACAGAATTATAGGAAATTTGTTCTCTTTCAGCTGCGAGTTTGAGAAAAATATTAAAACCACTTGCATTGGTAATAAACATTCGTGGCCAGGTATGAAAAATCCTTTGTTGTACTTTAGTTTGGTCATCTTATGAGCAAGAGAACATTACAATCAAACTTGCTTGTGTAAGGACCAAAATTTCGTTTCGAAATGGTTGAAGCGTACGAAACGTTTCCGTTTCTGAGGAGACGGTTTTCGTTTCAATGTGATGGAATTGAAAGTCTAATACTTCGAGGTGATTCATTATGTTTTGTAATGTTTCAATGCATTTGCACACTTATTTCAAAATGTTTCAAGGTATTTCAAATTACTTTGGTATATTTGGACTAATGTTTTGGAAAAATAATTCTTAAATTATTTATTTTTTTTCATTTTGTTTTAGAAACACTTCGAAATGTTTCCATTTTCTAGGTGACTGAAACGAAATTTTGATATTTGGTTGTGGCAAGAGAGTCTTTATCATCAATTGGCACTAGGCTTGACGTTTTGAGTTTTGCAAACAAGCAGTCAACATATTGTTGCTTTGTAAACCTGAATGGAGCTCTCATATATTGGTAGTATTTACTTATGTGATCACACATGAAATTTTTTGTCTTAATCTCAAGAACTAGTTTTGAATTACAATTTTGATAATTATGCTAACCATGGGAATGATCATCAAAGTTTTGTTGCGCGAATTGAACGCGATGGAATTAAACTTATGGTTGTTTCCTTTATTTTATGCGTATCCTAATTTGTATATGATATCAAATCAGACTCTCTGTATTCTAAGCCTCTTGTATTCATGATCCTTGAACCCAATTTCCTTGAATTAAGGATGAACATATATTCTTAGCGACCTGATGGGTTAATCTCATGAGCCAGTTTTGATCTTTGGGTGATGTTGAGTTTTGGTGTTTATGGACTTCCAATATTGAAAGTGCGCTTGGAGACACTTGTACCTGTTTTAACAAGGTTTGTCTGTGATAATGAATGAGTACTTCATAATTTTGTTGATAAAACCTTGATGGATATTTGTGAGATGTTACTTTGATTATTGGAAGTTGCTTTCGAACTCTTGTTACTTCTGGGAATGTTATGATACTATCGGGAATTGGCTGGTAATGGTCTTGGTGAAATTTGTGGGGAAGAGATATAATCCATGGGATGAATGGCTTAGACTGGTTTCCAGGATCGGTTTCATTGGGTTCAGTGATATAACAAACTTGGATGGGGTCATGCACTTGGTGTTATTTTGTTTGATATAAATCTGGGCATTCATGCATGCATGCAGATTATTTGTCTATTCGATTCTTTTATTGTGTACAATAGGAAAATGGATGATTTGGGAATAAGAACAGCCATTCATTACCTATTCAATTATTTTGTCATACTAAGTTGTATTGCAATTTCGTAGGCTCATTGGAGGATGTACAAAGCTCGCAATGCTTTTCATCATCGTCAATCTGACATTATTACAATTCAATGTCGTTGGCGGCAAAATTTGGCAAAAAGAGAGCTCAAGAGGCTTAGACAGGTAAACAAACGTTTTTTATGCACGCAGAGTGTGATTATCTTTAAGCTGCCATGTATTTTTTTTTTTAAATTGAGATTATTCAATTTTTTTAAGATTAAAATTTTGACCTCTCTCGAACCTGGTTGATATACTATATCCTGAGTGGGGGCTTGTAATTTTTAGTTTGCTTTTCACTTTTTAAAACTAAAAGCATCTGGTAAAATCAGAAACATGGGCAAGCAACCCTACTCTTTGGTTATAACACAAAATAATGTTTGGAGCAATAAAATGGTTAGCTATGAAGCACGGAGATTCCATCATAGACGAAGTATCCGTATATGTACAAGATACGAATGAAACATCAACTACAAATGAGATAATGAAAAGAAAACGAGAGTAAAATATTATTGTAACCACACAAGTTTGTTACATCATAATAATGAAATGCGCAAATGGAAACCTTTTTATAATAGGGCAAAATAATATTACAAAATGACTATACTACTAATAAAAAAAAACTTGACACCCCTCTCAAACTCAGGATGCAGTAGCCGAAAAAATCATGAGTTTGTCAAGAAGTAAACAAAAGTGCATAATAGTGTGCAACCTTGTAAAAAAATTTGCTAACTTCACAGTGAAAGACTATAAAACACGCATACTTAGTTAAGGTTGGCGAACAGATAAGAACACGGGACGCGAATACGACACGATAAAGACATGTAGACACATCTTTTCTCAAAAAAAGTAAGACACAACATGTTTGGGATATGCTATAGATAATTATATTATATATATAAAATTATATAATTTATAGTAAAAATATATTGATAATGATATATTATTCATAAGAAATTCAATTCATTAGGATAAGTAATTGTTATGTTTAGTCATCTAGTGTAAATTTTTAGGCTCAAGCACTATAATAGTCTATAATCATCAATTATATTTAGACGTGCACCTGACATATATAATTTATCTTTTCTAATTTTTTTACGTATCTTTTGTTTTTATTATTATATTTTGAATTAACTTTAACATATATAGTCTTTTTGTTTTTATTATTATATTTTGAGTACGACTTTAACATATATAGTCTTAGTAATTATATGTTCTATGGTAATATAAGATACTTGTAGCCAAAATTTTAAGCTTTGTTAATTACTTGTCATGGTCTAAATAAGTGTCACACATTACCAAAGAAATGTCGAACACGTGTCTGAAATTAAAATATTATTATTCAAGTATGGGCACGTATAAAAGAGTATTGGACATATGTCCGAGAGTGTTGAAAGAGTATTGGTATCCGACACAGATACGTTATATTCTTGAGAGGGTCCATCTTTCATAGTTCATCAGATATTTAAGAATACGTATCAGATACATTTCTTACATCTGATAATAACAAAATATGTGGATACTTTATGGATACTTTTATATTGGTGCAATATGTATAATTTTTAACTTTAATCTTGTTCATCTCCCTTTGAATTTATATATAATGCAATAAATTAATAAAAATTCATATGACTTGAATGACATATGAGTGCATTTAAGTATTCTCTACCATTGCATGTGTAAAGAGTATAAAATGAATTTATTACACTATAATCTTAACAACAAATACTTCTAAACAAACTAATAAAGTAAATATTGATTCTTGTTCTTTTACTTAGAAACTTTCATTTTGTGAATGTATAAAATGAGACGATATATACGTTTTTGAAAGTAAAAAATTGTTAATTTTGCTTCTTATTATTAAAGAACTAACAAAATATATAATTATTGGTTAATTGAACTTTTGGTCCTTAAAGTATAATTTTTTTTATCATTTTAGTCCTTATTGTATTAATTTTATCAATTTGATATCTAAAATATTTAATTCGTGTCACTTTGGTCCTTACATAAACGAACCATTAAGTTTTTGACAGAATATAATCACGAATTGGATACGTTATACCGTCTAAAAATATGACACGTTGTCATTGCTGTCAAAAAAACTTGATGGTCCGTCTAAGTAAGGACCAAAGTGAGACGAATTAAGTACTTTTGGGACTAAATTGATAAAATTCGTACAATAAGGACTAAATTGACAAAAAATGCATATTTTATGGACTAAAAGTACTATTAACCCTATAATTATTAAGTTGATTGAAAATAGTAAAAATATGAAATGTATTTTACTATTGAAATATCCTATTCATATTCGTATCCTACATTTTTTGATATTGTTGTATTGTTGTATCTATATCATACTCGTATGTCGTATTCGTTTCTGCTTCATAGGTTAAAAGAAGGAAGGAAAAGAATAGAAATAGTGCCAACATAATATGATGACATACAGGATAATCAATCTCAATGTATTTTGTAAGTTCATGAAACACTGAATTGTAAGTAATTTGAAATGGACTTGTGTGATCACAATACATAAGGGTAGAAGGAGACAAAATGTCGCCAAGATTAGCAAATAACCATCACAACCAAACAATCTCAACTGTAGTATAAGTCATAGCATGACAATCGATCTCAATAGAAAACAAGTAACTACAACTTGATTTCTGCTCTTCAAGGAATTAAGAGGATCATTGAGAAAAAGACAGAAGTCACTTGCGATTTTTAAGAATTGTCATTCTAGTCAGCATCGGAGTAAGTCTGGAGTTCTAGTAAGGCAGAAGAAGAAAAAATTATAGAGTTTGATGCAAGGTGCATCGAAGAAACCGAAAAATACGGAGAACAACCTAGTGACCATGGGTAGGGGAGGTAACAAACTAACTAACAATGTGAACAACATGAAAAATTGGGCTACGAATTGTAAGATATGCCAGACTACCAACAATAATGTGATATAGCGTATGATTAGATATTTAAGTGCTATTAGAGGAAGAATAACAAACATTAAGCTCTAAGAGCGTCTTAACTAATCGAGTGTGTGATGAACGGGTAAGCTTTATAATATGAGAGACAGTTGGATTGAGAAAGAAGATAATTGTTACGAGAAGATGCGACCTAAATATTCAAGAAATGCTGGAGCTAATCCAAATCTTTTATTTCAAAATGATCTTGCTATTGATTCTTCACAAATAAGATATCAACAGTGTTATCACTTGTAATGATAATATCATCAACATATATAAAAGTACAGGGTGAAGTTTGTAGAAAAGAGTATAGTCATGGTCACTGACTCAAAGTCCAAATCACAAATTACAAATGACCGAAAAATTTGGCAAACCATGCTCTTGGATCTTACTTAACTTAAGACCATATAATTCCTTGTGGAGTTTACACTCTTGACGAGGACTATTAAGCAATCTAAAGGGGGGGGGGGCAGTGATAAATACTTCTTCATTAAGAAAGATATTTTTCACATTCATGTAAGAGAAACTTCATTAAGGAATAATAATCACTGCAATCACAGTGCGAACAATGGTCATCTTAGCAATAGGAAGAACTGTTTCTTCATAATCTTTGCCATACTCTTAAGCAAATCTCTTGGCTACCTAGCGGGCTTAGTATTGTTACACAAAACCATCAGATTTGTTCTTTATTTTATAAACCCACTTATAACAAAGATTGTGTTTGCCAATGGATAATGACACTAAATTCCACGTCCCCGTCTTATATAAAGCAGTAAGTTTCACATCCATCGCTTGTTTTTAAGGAGGACCAAGAACTGACTCTTTGTAGGTGGTAGGTTCAAAAATAGAGTGGATATAAGCTTAGAAATAACAAAAATCAACCAAACTAATCACAAGACTTACGAGGTCTCTGAGGATAGCGAGTAACACGAGCTACATTGGCAGAATTTGATTGACTGATAGAAGAGGAAGAGGGAGGTACCACATCTGAAGAAAAAACCATTTCAGACCTGTAAACATAGGTATGCACAATAGGTGGACGAGTGACAGATAAAACAGAATAGGAAGACACATCAAAAACATTTATATCATGAACATAAGAGTAAGTGGAAAGACCAGTCGAAAATGGATCAATGTAAAATGAGATTAGATTTATGCGAATGTTTAGAATTGGATGGAATAGAAAAGAAAGGAATATGCTCCATGAAAACAACATGATGAGAGACATAGTGCTTGTGTATAACTGGATTGTAGTATCGATACCCTTTTTGAACCTCACCATAATCAAGAAATACATAAAGCTAAACAAGTTGAAAGTTTAGTACATGGAGCATTAGGCAGTTAGACAAAATAGGTGCATCCAAACACTTGTAAACAAAAATATATAGGTGGCCTAGCACATGACTTTTCAAAGTCAGAGATTCTAGAAGTGAGGACAGTGGGAATACAATTAATAAGATAAACGACATAAAGAATTGTTTTCCTCCAAAAAGAACTTAGAAAATTACAGACAGCAAGAGAGAGGGTGCTGTCCCCCTAATGTGTCGATCTTTATGTTCTATTACACCATTTTGTTCAGATGTGTCAACGTAAGAAGATGGTAGACAGTGCCATTAGAATTTAAAAAATGACGCAAGGAATTAAAAGAATATTCTCTTCATTGATCACATCGTAAGCATTTAATAACAAAAGAATATTGAGTGCGTATCATGTCACGAAAAGTAGTGAATATAAAAGAAAACTTTAGAACGGTGCTTCATTAGATATACCAAACAATACTTGGTATAATCATCTATAAAAAAGACATAATATCTAGGCCTCTTTTTTTTGTTGGCCCAAATATTGACACTTTTGTGAAAAGGTAAACTTAACTAACTTGAATTCACTATAATTGGAAATGTCATGTCATTGTAAACCACCTAAACTACCAGTACTGACTAAGAATTGCAAATGAGAATGAGAAACATCACCAATTCGAGAATGCCACAATAAAAGTTAGAAGACTGTAGATTCAAATGAAGAGATAACAAGTCAATAGTATTAGCAACAATATCTAGAACATGTAGCTCGTCCAACGCATACAATTCTCATTTTTTGCTGCCTATCCCAAACAACTTCTTGGAGCACGGATTCTTGACAACACAATTAGAAGAAAAAAAAAACTAAAAAGCCGAAATCAAAGACCTAGACCAAGTAAAATCAAATTCAAAGTAAGCTGAGGGATATCTTAGACATTTGAAAGCGTGAGGTGAGGAGAGATAATAGCTTCAAAAACAGTAAAATGTCATTTGAGTACCATTAGCTGCAAGAGACTGTTAAGGGAGAGAAAATAGTTGCAAATATGGAATAATCACTAATCATTTGATTTGTAGTACTTGAGTTAAGGACTAAGCACTTCAAGGTTTACCTAAAAGACCTAAAGTGAACAAATCTACTGAAGAAGAGATTGAAAGAGTGTGAGGATGCTGGAATGGGAAAACCTTCTCCAATTGGAACTAATCAAAAATCATAGTCAACTTGGAAGTTGATTTTGCACTAATGGCTTGAACATAATTAGTGTTCACTCATCATAATCTTGATGACATAGAGCAAGAGTAAGAGTGCAAAAAAAGCAAAATTCAAAAAAATTTGAGAGAGAGACCGCCTTGAGAGTGTCATATTATATGTATACAGACACATTCATTCACAAAGCCATAAAAACAAAATATAAAAAATTAAATTTCATGTACAACCGTGACAAACTATTTAATTTATAAATATATGGTGATTATATGGTCCTAAAATGGCGGTTATAGTTTACAAATACCATTCTAGTTTGATATGCATTTTTAGACATGTATTAGCATCGTTGTCAAATCGTATATCGGGAGATATATCGTTTTTTAAAAATAGTGTATCGTATCGTATATCGTGTATCGTAAGATACACGCAATTTTAATTTTTAAATAATTATTAATAAAATATATGTACATACCTTTGTAAAAAAAATCATAAACTCATAATAACATAGCATTTCATTAATATTTTACCAATTATTCAAGTTTCTAACATAGTTCAGTAATATCAAAATGCAAAGACCTCTAATTCAAACTTTTAACATCAACTGTTTGAACAACCATAATATTAATCAAGAATTTTGAATTCAATTGAACAACATTAACAGGAGACTTTATTTATTTATTTTTAATCCATAACCACTGAAATAATATCGTTTCACTAGCTAGTGATTTAAAAGTAAGTCCTGGGGTAAAATGATGTCATTTCAACTCCAAAAAATCAAAAAAAAAAAAAAAAACAGAATTTTCACGTATCGTACATATTGAGTGTATCGTATCGTATCGTATCGTGTATTGTATGATACAGTGCAAAAATAATACAGAAATACGATACGTATCGTTTGTCAAGTGTATCGTGACGTATCGTACGATACGTATAACTATGTGTGTTAGTACTTCCCAAATATAAATTTGGGTAATATTGAGTAAGCAATAAGCATATAAGTAAGAGCGCAAATTAGTTGAATTCATGAATTAAACAAATTGAACATGTGAAATTCATAAAATGAGAGCTCAAATTAATGGAGAATTAATTTTGAAAGCGTGAATTCGCGTGCGGAGAGCTAGAGCATCTGGAGTTTAGATGAATTATCTGACTAAGGTCATAATTGTAAAAAAATAAATTCAAAACCAACGAGTCTAAGACTAATTCCAACAAATTATCAAATCAGGAAAGAAACAGACAAATAGCTTGTAGCAAATAGCCTTAGTTAGAACAATCCAAACAACCCAAAGCAAAGTCCAACAAATAGCCCAAAGAAAAGCATGACACAATAAACCAGTCATAGTTTCACTTCACAATTTGATAATAGTAGAAGAGAGCTTTTGCTGGGAAGCAAACAGTGAAGCCCAACCCAATAAAGCAAGTAAAGCCCAGCCCAATGCCGCTCAAAACCAGTAAGTATGAAGCCCAAAGCAAGTGTTGGTGGCAAGAAAGGAAACCAAAAGCTGAGCCCAAAGCAAAGTCCACAACCCAAAAAGAGCCCATACCAATCAACGACCCCAAGCTTCACCCACACAAACCAGTAAGTACAGCCCAAAACTTCACAGCTTCACCAACGTAAACCAGCTTCACAACTGCAACAACTTCAGAAACCAGTAAACAATGGAGAAAGAATCAACAAAATACAATAGCACTAGCTCAGCAAAGTAAGAAATTTAACAGCTCAGTTAACAGGAAGAACCAGTTGCAGCACATTGACCAGAAGCCCCAAGGCCGATAGTGGAGAGTTACAGATTTTCTGCACAAATCTGTTGTAAGGGCCTCCAACACCTCAAACAAGTATCAACAACATCAAATCACACCTTTTAGGATAGATTCGTGGCAAAAACAATGCAAAAAATGCAGATCTAAAAATTTCAATCCTATTTTTCGAAACAAATATTCAAAAAAGCAAAAAGCCTTAGTTGTAGCCCATGGAAAATCGGGTAGGATGGTGGTCTTGGATGTTTGTGATTGATGATGTGATGAGGTTTGTGTTGACATTAGCCTTTTTTTTTACCAAAACTCAGAATTTTTTGCTGATTCAAGGTACTGTGTCTCTCATTTTCCTTCTAATTTGTTTAGGATCGAAATTTGTTTAGGATCGAAAACTGATCTGAAAAGATAATGAAAAGAAAACGAGTGTAAATATGCAAATAGAAATCCAATTATAGCAGGGTAAAACAATAGTGAAAAATGACTAAACTTACCCCTGATATTAAAATAGATATACCTCATGTGTGGCTAGATAAACTTTGGATACTTTAGAAATGCCTTTTAATTTTGGATATGTGGAGCATAAATGACCAATATTTGTTAGTTACGTCGAGAATATGTGACTGATATGTTTAGGATACATCGGGATACTTTGGGGCTAATTGTATCAATCTTTTACTTATTAAAATAGGCTATTGAAGTAAACGTTGGAAGAAAGTAAAATAAACAGTAGGGGAGTTGGGCCAAGAAAAAAAATGTAATTTTGACCTTAAATTGAACAAGGCCCTATTATAACATGCTAGTACTCTCACATTTGAGATTTTATCTGTCTAGAAGTAAAAGAAACAGACCAATGAAAATATCGTATTGTAATTTGTCATATATTTGATAGTTACATGAATTTTCAATTAAATTAACTTAATAATGAAGTTTTATTCATTTTTTGGTCAATTAAGATTTATGAATTTGTTTAATATATCTTACTCTTTCTATTCTATTCAATATACAACAGGATAGTTTACATGGATATTATTTATCTTTAACTATATATCTATGAATCATCAATATCTAATCTTATCATACAATAAATTATATAATGTTTAATTATTCACGTAATCTTAGTTTGTTAATTTTTTTTTTTTCATATTGTCGTATCGTGTCGTACCTCTATTTGTATCGATGCTTCTTAGATGATTAGATATTAGTAACTCAATACTCCCGACAGAGTAAACATAAGTTTAGTTTGAAATTATTTTGAGGGATTAAACACGGAAGTCGTATGAAAGATACTGCTCAATAAGTATTTGACAGAGATCTCTAATTGTGCTTCACAGATTGTCTATTTTGTGGTTAACATATGACACGCTCCTTGACATTTGATTTATAGTTGGATTTTCTTGAAGGCATATTTAGTTTTGAGGAAAGTATTCTGGTACGATTTTTTTCACGCTTCATTGTTGTAACTCACTAGTGGCGTGCCTATAAAGCATACAAAATGCATTGAGTTGAAGTCTCCGGGCCTTGCCATGGTCCAGACAAAGTATTCAGACACATTGTGTGACTAGGCGATAGATGTGCATCATTTTCTTCAGTGGTGGTTTTTTTTTGGGGGGGGGGGGGGAGTGGGTGGCTTTGGGTACAAAGCAGATAACTTACTTTTGTATATGATTGTTGGTGGTCTTCAAAGTTGCAATCTAGACTTGGTGATTAGTCTAGAAGTAGAAGTTTAGTTCTTAGGATGTGTGCCCCTATTACTAGTGTGAATAAAGTTTCTCTTTGGCAATCCAAGCTTCATTTCTTTCTTTATTTGTCTGTGGGTATTATTTCTTTCTTCGTTTCTTTCTGGTGATGAAGATCTGCAAATATCTGGCCTATAAACTGCATTTATATGATTGTTAGTCATTGCAATAATATCATGTTTTTTATGTGTAGCCAGTATTTTCTAGTGTGTAAAGCATTATTCTTAATTTTTTTTGGGTTTTTAATTTTCCGTAGGAGGCTAATGAGGCTGGTGCCCTGCGCCGAGTGAAAAATAAGCTTGAAAAGCAATTGGAGGATCTCACTTGGCGGCTGCATCTAGAGAAAAAATTGCGGGTATGAGTTTTCATTTGAGTAATATAGGTCTTGTTTAGGATGTACATAATAATCTGTGTGAACAGTTCAGAAGTATAGAACTTTATTTCTTAATCATTGCCCATGTATTTATGGTTGAAGTTGAATGGAGGATATGTACTTGGTCTATGTTTTAGGGTTATAGATGTTGGGCCAAACTTTGGGCCCGCACCTAATATGGGCCCATGGGCCATAATAGGCTGGCCACTTAATTGGCCATTCCGTCTACTCGGTAGTTAGTCAAACCTTTAGTGTTGTAATTCGATAGTATGGAAGGAATTATTAGGGGCTAAAGTTATTTGAATGTCCTTTGAAACATTGTTATAGTTATTTTTATTGTGAAGTTCTTCTCTTGCTTGAGGACAAAGCAATTTCTATTGGTTGTCAATGAAGCACAGTTGAGTTTAACTTCTCTCTCATTGTAATATTGCATGCATTTGAACAGTTGATAAATTTGGATCTTGACTTTGTTAACATGTGTTTGTAAATGCATTTTGCTATGTTATGTATTTCTAGCCTAAGGATATTTTTGGCACTTGTGATTATATAAATTGGGATGTAGCTGTGAACCGTAACACACTACTCTTCATAATCTGGTCTCTCTGCCTCCTATTCTTTTGCCCTCTTTCCCTAAACCCTAATTACTTCATAATCTAATTTGATATCAAAGCTTCGGTGAAGATCTGAAGGTTAAGAGCTATTGGAATTCATCCGAAAATCTCTCTCGCGTTCAACAGTGTTGATTGTTAAAGTCTAACATGTTGACGTCAACATCTGTCAGCATGTTGAAAATCTCTCTTGTGTTCAACAATGTTGGTTGTTAGAGTCTAACATGCCGACATCAACACCCAAATTGCTAGAAAAAATTCAAAATTTTTATGGTTGAATTGACTCATCCTCTTGAGATTTATGATTATTTTTGCAGAATTTTTTGAAGCTGTTTGACGGCCATTTGATGTTTTGAATTTTTTTTTTGAATTTTTTGGGGTTCAACCTTCGATCTGCAAAGTCCAAGCACATCAAGGGCAGTTTCTGATTCGAATAACCTTGCTAAAGTGCGATTAGGGCTTTTCTATGATGCTCAGGCTGTTGGTTTGTATTGGATTGAATTGGTGAGGTTTTTTTGCCATTCTTCATTGTCAATAGACTTAGCACCACTGTTACCCATTGTTCCGAGGTCGTGAGGCCCCCTCTGCACTTGCTTGTGTTTGTGGCTTTTGTTTTCTAGTATTTGGTGTTGTTTGAGAAATTTTCTGGTTATGGTCTGCTTCGTGGCTTGTGATTTCCTATGATTGGATGCTATTTTATGTTAATCCTATTGCGTGGACATGTGAGAAGCGTGTGTGACTGCTACCAGTAACGTAGGAAGTACGGGGAGTAGTGGGTTGAGCCGTTTGGGTGCTCTTGCCAACAATGCATCTCTTCAAATTAAACCAAAGAAGCTGGATGGAAACAATTATTTGGCATGGTCTTGAGCTTGTTTGCTATCATTTCAAGTTATATCTTTGGATGGGTATGTGACTAGGGAGTTTGGTTCCTCATTGAAGTAGTGGACATCTAAAATGATTTGGTTATGTCCTGGTTGCTTAATTTAATGCAATTCTCTATTAGTCGTGGTTTTTTGTTGCTTGAATATGAATTGTTGTGACATACATATTCTCCAAGGGGTAATGATGCTAAAGCTTATGATTTTCAAAAGAAAGTTAGGGAGACTAATTAGAAGGACAAGACCTTGCAATCTACTATGCAGAGATGACTGCCTTGTGGCAATAACTTAACTGTTATTAGAGTTTCCTAGCAGATTGAACTAATGATGATGCAAAATTTTTGCACATGGTGGGGAAGGAACGCGTATATGATTTTCTTGTTGGCCTTAACTTTGATTATGAGTAGATTCGGACTCAAATTCTGGGTCGTAGTTCATATTCAGCCTTACAAGCCGTGTGACAATGTTTACTCCTATCAAGCTGCAGTAGCCTGAAGGAGATCTTCTATCATCCACTAAACCTTAGTGACACTACCTCTATTTTTTCCCATGATGAGATACGGACTCTTAGTTGTTTGATGGCTCGGCTAGACGTTTTCCGAAGTTAAAAGAAAGCAGTGGTATTAAGGTATAGTGCATGGGTTGAAAAAGAGGTCTAGTGCAGAGGTTGAAAAAAGAGGTCTAGTGAGCAATAACTCATGGAGTTTGTGCAGAGGTTGAAAAAAGAGCAATAACACATGAAGATTTTGAGCTTATGTGGCTCCAAATTTTACTCGAAGAGCTCGGAATTCTTAATGATAGGCCTAGGAGATTGTAATTTGATAATAAAGCAACTATCAAAATTGCACATAATCCAGTTCAACATGATAGAACTTAACATGTCGAAATTAATAGACACTTCATCAAAGAGAAATTAAATAAATGTTTGATCTTGATGTCTTTCGTGAAATCAGAAAATTAGTTGGCCGATGTTTTCACATAAGGTTTAGTGGCAAATTTTTTCACCAACTTATGGGGGAATGTTATGTTATGTTATGCTATGTTGTGATGTATTTCTAGCCTAAGGGTATATTTGGTACTTGTGGTATATAAAATGAGATGTAGATGTGTAACACTAACACACTATTCTCTTCATAATCTTATGTTTCTTTCTCTTATTCTTTTCCTCTTTCACTAAACCCTAATTACTTCATAATCTCATTGGAACCAATGTGAATTGTCCGGTAAATAACTCGTCCATACATAAACTGCAATTAGCATCATCATGTTGCTTGAATGTCCCAAAACAATGACATTTGGTCATTGTGAATATTACTAGTTCACTTCATTTACTCTTGTATTGCTATAGGGGCATGACAGTTTCTCTCTCTTCTTTCTTGCTTTCTCTTTTTTCCTAACACATTTGAAATTAGTTGAGTTCTCCTTTTGTTGTACATCTCAGAGTCTTATCCTAGGGATTAGAATTTAATTTTGAAATGGAAGAAATGTTTTCGTTTCTAAGGGGTTCGAACAGATCAATGATTAAATTGAAATTCTCTTGCTTCAAGGTGTTTGATGTTCTGGCATATTCTGACATATTCTGACTGGTGTTTCAACATTTTTTGGAAATAAATTCCAAAATTTTTACCCATTTTCATTTTGTTTTCAAAACTTTTCGGTCCATTTTATAGGTGACTGAAACAATGCACCAATTCTAAATTTTGATTCTTGGATGTATCCCTGTTTTGTTATTCTTGGACTAGAGCATTGTGCCCCCCCCCCCCCCCCCCCCCCAAAAAAAAAAAAAAAAAAAAAACTAGAGCATTGTGCATTTTGATTTTAGGTTATTCATGCATTCTCTGTTCCGTGGATCTCCTATGTGTAAGAGCAACAATTGCAATGCAGTTTCTAATTTTTAGGTCATGGAATGCAGGTGTCCAGTGAGGAGGCTAAGTTAGTTGAAATTTCAAAACTTCAGAAGACAGTTGAATCTTTAAGCCTTGAACTAGATGCAGCTAAATTGGCCACAGTTAATGAGTGCAACAAAAATGCAGTACTTCAAAATCAGTTACAAATGTCAGTGAAGGAGAAATCTGCTTTGGAAAAAGAAGTTGCTGCAATTGCTGAACTGAGAACTGAAAATGCATTTTTGAAGGTTACTTGGCATAGATCGCTTATTATTTTACTTGCAGTTGAATGACGGTGTCTTTCCTGGAGCAACCATATTTGGCTGATTGTAACAGTTTTAGTTGTTTTTATTGAGTCTTGGTATATGATCATTTGATGTATTCGACGGGTTTTTTAATCCTTGTCTGCTCTGCAATTTTTTTTTTCCTTTTTAAATCTGAACTGTACTGATATACTTGCATTAAAATGGAAAAGAAAGAAAAAGGTTTTGTTGATTTTGGGGGAGGACGTTTAAAAACTACATAGTAGTCACTTGTCATGCAGCATTCTACAACAGCTAGGGTTGATCTCACAAAGATCGGAAAATGGCAACCTGAACTTGGCATACCAACTGAGCCCTAGTTTTCTTGACTTATATATTTTTTTCATGAAAGTTGTCTAAATTTGTTACTTGATGCTGTGGTAGAAAATTGAGCGGTAGCATCAGTTATCTTAAATTTGCTTGGATTGGTGTAAGGTTCAAAAAAGGTTTCTCAAAACATGGAAAAATTAGCTAAAAGAGGGTTTGATGCCATCGGACAAGCTATATAAAATGTATGAAATAAAATTAAAGAATTTAAAGTTGAGAATATGTTCTATCCCTTTGAGGCCTGAACTAATTTATAAAGGTCAGCTGTTTATGGAGATATTTGTTTAATATTGGATATTCGTAGTGATATGACAAGTGTATAATATGGGTTTTTGTTTATAATTCTTAACGCAAGGATATTTAAGCAGCAGATAAATGCAGTTTTTGATATCAGTTCTGTAAGTTTGGGATGTTTAACTTAACTATTTTATTTTCCTTATTTGCTTTAAGTCTTGTACAATTAAAGCGTGGTAATAGATCATTGCTTTGTTTATAGCACTCTTTGAACACCTCGGAGGAGAAGAACTCAGCATTGTTGCATGAGCTTAGTATGGCTAAAGAAGATACAAATGATACTGTGCGGAAGTTGAGGGAAGTTGAACAAGCATGTTCACAATTCCAACAGAAGTTGCAAAGGTGTTGCCTTGTTATTTCAAGTATTTAGGCTATCTACTAGCCGCCACTTAATTTATTTTTCTTTACTTGATGCTGCTGCGCAGGCTTTGTTTGTGTTTTGTTCTCCTTGTTATTTGTTTTCTAGTGCTTTTTTTTTTGTTTTGTTTTGTTTTTTTTTTTGGGGGGTGGGGGGCTGAAGTTTGGTACAGTTAAATAATTTGTATTTTTTGCTTAATTTGAATGCTCGTATTACATTGCCTGCTGTAAATGTAATAAATACTTCCTGATCTAAGAGTTCTATTGCATTATTTTTCTTCCTCAGAAACATTCAACTAATTCTGTTTACTCTTAGTCCCTGAAGTTTCCTGATAAGTTTTGTGATTTATAGTTTGGAGGAGAAGCTCTCAAATTTAGAGGGTGAGAATCATGTCCTACGGCAAAGAGCATTAAGTGTGTCCCCAAAGAGCAATCGCCCCGGCTTGGCAAAGCCATTTTTGGATGTAAGTTGTACAAACATCCTTTCCATATTGCAGTACATAAGCAAATCAGATAGTTTACATTTCCATTCATTTTCTGTCATCGGTGAACAGACTTATATATATATATATATATATATATATATATATATATATATATATCTCCTAGACTAGTTCAAGAGGTGTTGGTACAATGTACAAACTCTAGGACTATCCTGCACATGCAATCCCCACTTGCATGTGGAGAGGTAGAGAGGGGATCTGAAAGACTATCAAAATTTTAAAAAGTGCATTATATCACGAACTGAATCATTTCTTATGAAATAGTCTTGCTCAAAAGTCTCATGTAGCTAAACTGTGGTTTCATTTTAAAGCATCCAACTCAAAACTAATTGGCTATGAGAGATATTTTTGGAGAGACTCCTCAATCATATAAAGCTGCCTTGAGTGGCTCTAATATTTTGATGTGGGATATAATCTCTCTTCACATGCTCCATTACGTGCGATTCAGACTCGCTCATGGTTAACGAACCAAATCGAAACAAACAAACAAGCACACTGGAAAATTCAATGGGGGTGAGAGGCGTAAAATATTTGCACAGAAGGCCTAGCTTTAATACCATGTTATAGACCGCCAACCTCTCTAGAAGTTTAATCTGCAAGAGAGAGTGTAGCATAAACATTTATATTCTTTAACATGCTCCCGCAATTGTATGCTAGATTTATGGCCTAACACTTGGAACTATTGAATTATTAGGATGACAATGAAATTCAAATGCACAACCTCCTATGCTTGTATTACTCTAAACCACAACACATCTAAAATCATATTCTGTTAGGGAACGTGTAATATAAGTATTATATACTTTTAACATGCCCTCTCGTGCGGGTTATAGTTTGCACGTGCAAGTATCATAATAGTCAGGGTGGCAGCAAGATTCGAATAGAAGACCTCTTGCCTTGATAACATCTTAGAGGCTTCCAATCCAAAACTAATTGCCAATGAGTGGAGAGACTTTCAACCATATAAACCTCTATGTGTGTATATATATACATATAAAATATTTTAGAGACACAAGGGATATTATATAAATTTAATTTGATAGCATGAGAATGATGAACTGCATTTTTAAATATGTTTATAATGCGCTCTTGTTCACTGTTGCAACAGAAGTTCTCTGGTGTACTTTCTCTTCCGTCTTCTGATCGGAAATCTGCATATGTAAGATTTGTCCTAAGCAATTTTGTGGTTCAACATAACTTACAAGTTCCATTCATTTTGCTTGACATCTTTACAATGTATGATGCAGGAATCGCCCACTCCTACAAAAATCATAGCACCTCAATTACAAGGTTTATCTGATTCACGTCGAGCAAAGTTAACTTTGGAAAGGCACCAGGTTTTATTCTCTTATTTCTTGAATGTGTAGATTTCCATGTTTACCTCATTGTGATTTCTTGCTTGATTTATGTCGAATTTGTGTAAACAAAGAGAGGAGTAGAAAAAGAGGAGATATAGAAAGACATGAGTTGCTATGAGCAAGAAGAGAATTAGGGTTCTCCTTACTAACTTGTATTTATAATGATTTGTACTCTCAAAGTACAAAAATTCCCTTCATTACAATAAATATTATTAGTGTCACACTCCAAACTGTCTCTCTCAAGCTAGTGCAAAAATAATATGCAAACATAAGTTATCCAGGAATTGAAACCATACTAGATACTCCTTTTGTCTAAATGTCTGCAAGTTGATTCCCCGTCTTCATGAAAGGGGTATAAATCAGAGAAGCAATCAACTTTTGTGCTAAAGTATCTATCCCCCTTGACGTGATTGGTTCAATAATGCTGAACTGGATCATTGGTAATGTTAATAGTTGCGTTATTATGATTTGACAACTTCTTTGACCACGTAGAACTAAAGGCAAGTTCCTTTAATATGTATGTCAGCTATCATCATTCATAGACACCACGATTCATAGTTTTAAATTTTGTCTCTGAATTAGAACTAGCCACAATTGACTATTCCTTGCTATACCATGTCACCAAATTTCCTCCTACAAAGAAACAATACCCACTATGCAGGTGATCGATCTAGCCCAGTCAGCATTAATATGAACTTCCACTTGCATATGATCACATATGGAAAATAATAACCTTTTACTGAGAGCCTATATTAGAATTCTGTGAACTACCTCCATATAAGATTCACAAGGTGACTACATAAACTGAATTACTATACTCATTGCATAAGATGTACCTGGATGTGTTGCAATTAGTATGGGACATAAAAGTAAGTTTTCCAAACTAGTATCTGCTATCGACTTTTGTCAATAAGAACAATCGTCAATACTTTCTCCTGAACTGGGTTCTGCTTGACAGGTGTCTCAATAGGCTTATGTACTCATATTCCTGTCTGCTCAAGTTGATCAAGAACATACTCCTGCTTTGAAGTGAAAATACCTTGTTTGGATCTCGCAATCTTAATGCCAAAAAATACTTCAAACTTCTCAAGTATTTATTTGAATTCTTGGGCTAGGTCTTCAACTTCATTATCTCTTCTACATCATTAGCGGAGAGTATAGTGTCATCAACTTGTGTAGTAAGTGGCATTTACCCACCCACAAAGAGAATAATGAGCAAATGAAGTATGATCACCCAAACTCTGATAATAATAATGCCTTTGCATAGCTAAAACCCTCAAACCATATTCTTAGAGACTGTTACAAGTCATATAATGACCTTTCAGTCTACATATTTTTCTACTATTCGAGGTGAGCTCAAATTTTAGGTGACATTCATATATACTTACTTTTCTGTTTCTTCATGGAGAAAATGCATTTCTCCATCGAATTGTTGAAAATGTTAACCTAGGTTTTCTGTTAATGAAAATAGAAAATGAATAGAATTCATTTTTACCCTGGAGCAAATGTCTGATGATAATGAGTCCTATAATTCCGTCTGACGCCATTAGCTTCTAGTTTGGACTTGGACCTTTCAACTTAGGCTTCCATCTTATGTTTTAGTGTAAATATCCTTCCACATCCAACTGGATTCTTCCCTCTAGGTAGGGGGGTGTCCATGGGCTGGGTTATCCACGGGGTCCCGTTATCCGGCCCGAAAAAATAGGCCCAAAGCTCGATAGGCTTGGTAGTTGGCCCGCCCGAGTTCGAGCCTAAGCCCAATATTCTTAAAAAGAGGGCTTGAGTTTACCCCCAAACCATTACCCGGCCCAAGAGCCCGCCCGTCAAGCCCAACCCACCCACCCTTCGTTTGAAAAAAAGTTATATTTTTTAGACCATTAAATCTGAAATTTTGAAATAAATCTCTTAATATCAAAATTTGAAGTTTTAAAAATTTAGATATTATAAATAATGTATTATTTTTTTTTCATATATTAAGCATATAAGTTTTAAATGATAGAGTAATGCAAACAACAGATAAGTTAATAAGTGTCAACCTAGTTGAGATTTATTCATTCTATTGGATGTAGTTCATTATTTTATTTTTATCTATTTTGACTTTATTTTTGATTCAAAAATATAATTTACACAAATATTAAGTTATAAAAATATTCATTATTCTTAAATAAAGATGTATATAAAAAAGCCCGCAAGCAGGCCCACTTAGTAAGCCCGCCCAATAGGCTCACTGGTTGGGCTACGGGTAGCCTATCTCTACTCGAAGCCTAGCCCGGCCTGGCCGCCTGATTACTCACTTGGGTAAGAGCTTGGGCCTACACTACCCATGCTTGGCCCGAAAAAAATTTCACTGGCCTAGCCCGGCGCAGTCCACGGACACCCCTACCTCTAGGTAACTCGACCAGTTTGCAAGTACTATCCTTTTAGAGTGTATTCATTTCTGTACATTTTGTCTGTGCTTCATGGACACCGAAGACAATTAGGATGCAGTCTATGAAGCACGGATACGATACGCATACAGTGAATTCACAAAATTTTTAAAAAAAGGATACGTGTACGACTAGGATGTGACCATAAAATATATTTTTTTAAAATTTTATTATTATATTTAATGTAATAATTATGATTTAGAAAGTGAGTCACACATCTATCAAAGATATATTATAATAGCTAACCATTCTATCATTCATAAACCATACATTCTACACATACATATTGCATAATATCCAAAATATTTTCATACCAAAAAAAAAGAAAAGAGAGATATCATGTGCATGCTTAAACGAAGGAAACTATCCTATTACAAATTAAGCAACAAAAAACAGTCCCCTCTTGTTACTAAGACGTTTTCCTAATATTATCTTCATTTCCATTTCCTCCATCTTGGAATAACATAGCTTCCATCTCTAACTCATCAAGTGAAAGACTTGCAACTTCAAATGCAGCAATTCAAATGGTGCCTAATATATAATATTAAAAAAAAAAAAACCAAAGCAGAAACCCTATGTGTAATTTGTCTCTAGACTGCTAAAAAAAAAAATTATTTTGCAGGGTGACTGCAAGTGCAATCAAAATCATTGGTTTAGACTTGTTTGTGGAAAACTATTGACCCACTTAGCTATAAAAATCATCTAATTTGTGAGAAAGATTTCTATTGTATATTGTAAATTGCAAAAAAAAAAAACCCTTAATTTAAGGCCCCAAACTTTTTTTTTCTGCAAATCCTAATTGCAAAAGAGGAGTGTTAATCACTAGTAAAAGGCGAGAGAGAGAGAGAGAGAGAGAGAGAGAGAGAGAGACGACAAGCTTATGACATTGATGATACCTGGACACTCAGAGAGAAGAGACTCGTCACTCGTGAAAGTTGCACTTTCATACTGCCAGGAGGGAGGGTAGACCTCGTTAGAGGTGAGAGAGAGAGACAAAATATATTTAGGGATTAATACATAAAATACTCATTAATTACCTTCTTGTTTCATTGAATGAAAGGGCACAAATATATGATAAAATAAATTTGGACTTGACTGGACTCATATTCCCCCAAAAGAAAGTAATGTGAGTTCAAAGGCCACAATTTTCAGGAAAATAGCATCCATAGAAACAGTTAAAAGCAACAAACTAATATTAGGGTTAGAGAAATAGAGAAAAGAGAAGAAGTAAGAAGTAAAGAATTAGTTGTTTATGAGCTATGTTGCCCTACACCATCACCATCTTAATATTAAGGTAATTCCAATATTACCTTACACTAATAGACTTATGATTTAATACATAAAATAAGAAATCTAATAGAAACATATGTTTTACAAGGAGGAGGATGAAAACATTTATTACCCTTTTTTGTTGGTGAATAACTTGGAAAAATGCTTCTGGTTGCTTGTGGATCCAACATATTTCTCACACCAATAGGAATATGAACATAGAAAACGCATCCGGGCACTCAAGGAGGAACTAAAAACTAGTTAGAAAAATTAGAGGTAGAAGTAGGAAGAGGGGATAAGATCTTAATTGGTGGCCAAAGTCTTAAAATTGTAAAGACTTTCTGACATTCTGTTGATGTTTAAGATTTTGGTAAGCATAGTGTCTCGTCAAATGTAACTTAGAAGCATGCATAGGGAATACCAAGACCATGGAAAATTCTAACAAATGTTGGTTTTTCCTCTCTGCAATCTCATTTTGTTGAACTGTATCGGTACAAGTGGTTTGGCGGATGATATCTTGTTCCACAAAACTCTGTAAATGTATTCACCTCCATATTGGAATGAGTGTGAGCATGATGTTATGAAATGTCTAGAAAAGGGGTGCACTTCAAGGATTCGAAATTAGAGTAAGCTTTCCTACGAAGAATAAGAAATTAATAAAGACTGATGTAGGGTAGCCAGAAGATAACGAAAAATGTGAAGAACAACAATCCAATAAATAGTAGTAGGTGTAGCAACAAACTGACTAACAATATGTGATTGTAAGATAAACCAGGCTGCCAACAATAGTGTGATACATCGTGGGATCAGATAATGAAGGCATATCAGAGGAAGAACAACAGACATTGAGCTCTAAGGGTATCTTAGCTGTTCGAGTGTCTGATAAGCAGTCCTATTATGTAATACCCAAGAGATACTTGGATTATGAGATAAGATAACACTTTGAGAGGAGAGGTGACCTCAATACCCAAGAAATATTAGAGTTAATCCAAATCGTTCATTTTAAAATAATCTTGCAACAATCTATTCAACAACAAAATACCAATAATGTCATCACTTGTAATAATTATGTAATTTGAGTATAGTGAAAGTACAATAAAAACGGAGGAAGAGGATCATAGAAAGAGACTAGAGTCATGGTTACTAACACGAAAACTTAATTCATAATTGAAAAAACAAAATTTGGCAAATACTATCTTCAGAGTTTGTTTAACTCCATATTATGCCTTGTGGAGTGTGCACACCAGACTAGTACTATCAAATAATGCAGGAGGAGCTCTAAAGACTTTTTCAGTATATTTTTTTTTAACAGAT